AAATTATTAAATTTAAAATCATCGTTACTATATATATATTTATTTAATATTATATTATAAATATAAATTTATAAACTTACCTAGAAAGTATTGTGGTAATTATTCTTGGTCAAAGCCAAACAGGTTATTATCATCGTAACTGCGTTGAAATTTAGAGAGAGAAACTAAAAGGCCAAAAAAGAAAGACAAACAAAAAAGTCTTTTCGGAAATTCTAACCTTTTTTTCATTTCTCTGGCTAAACGCGGATTCACAAATGAGAGTCCTTTAATAGTTTCCTATTTTCTCCATTACAAAAACAAATCCATTTTCGTGGAATAATACTAGAAATCCTTTGGTGTCACTCACACCAACCATTGAAGATTCAACCCAGGAACAAGAACGAGAAAACCCCATATTTTTTTCGTCTTTCTTGTGCAGATCTATCCTCTCTTTTTTTTCTTTTTTCTTTTTTTTTTATGAAATTTGTTGAATTTCTTGATCAATTTCAGTGCTTGGGGAAAACCCTTTACTGGAATTTAAAAATTTAGAATTGGGTTGGAGTTGTTATGGCGACAGCGGCGATATTTTCTTCCATCAGAAGACGGAGATCGCCGTCTCTAGAAGCGTTTTTGGCTCCCGTTGACTTTACCAACGTGGCCCTTTTACAGACGCTGGCGTCGATTTCGGCGATGCTTGTTTCTGGCTTCTCTGACAAATCTTTCTTCTTTCAGCGGAGGAATTCCCTGTCTTTGATTCGTAAGATTGAGGTTTTTGTTGTGTTGTTGGAGTACTTGAGGGATTCCGGTTCGGCTTCAAGGCTACCAACAACAGCAATATTGTGCCTCAAGGAGCTGTATTTGCTGCTGCACAGGTCCAAGATACTTCTTGATTATTGCGCGCAATCGAGTAAGTTGTGGCTTTTGATCCAGAACCATTCAATTTCGGGTCATTTTCATGATTTGAATCGGGAGATATCTACTCTTCTGGATGTGTTTCCCATTAAAGATATTAAATTGAGTGATGATGTTAGGGAACAGGTTGAGCTGTTGCAGAAACATTCTAGGCAGGCGAACTTGTATATTGATATAAAAGATGAAAATTTAAGGGTTGGGTTCTTCTCATTTCTAGATGAGTTTGAGAATGGGAGGATACCCAATGCGGTGGAGTTGAGGTTGTTCTTTGTGGAGAGATTGGGGATTAAGGATGCCAAGAGTTGTAGATTTGAAATTGAGTTTTTGGAGGAGAAGATTGTGAAACGTGAGGGAGATGTTGAGCCTACAGCTCCTGTGCTTAATGGGTTTGTTGCCATTATCCGGTATTGCAGGTTTCTGCTATTTGGGTTTGAGGAGGATGAGGTGGGACTGGGTTCTGGAAATCAGAAGAAGCTGAGAAAAGGGTTGATTTCTCAGGAGATTGCAGATACGTTTATAACGATTCCTAAGGATTTTTTTTGTCCAATATCATTGGATTTGATGAGAGATCCAGTGATAATATCAACAGGGCAGACTTATGATCGGAGTTCCATATCTAGGTGGATGGAGGAAGGACATTATACTTGTCCAAAGACAGGGCAATTGCTTGTCCACAATTGCCTTGTTCCTAATCGTGCCTTGAGGAACTTGATCATGCAGTGGTGCACCATGAATGGATTCCCTTATGATCCTCTGGAGGGCACCGAAGCATCTGCAGAGTCTTTTGTGTCTCTGCCAAGCAAAGCTGCAATTCAAGCCAACAAAGCCACAGCATCTCTTCTTGTTCAACAGCTAGCAAATGGGTCCCAAGGTGCAAAGACTATGGCAGCACGTGAGATTCGCTTGTTAGCAAAAACAGGAAAAGAAAACCGTGCTATCATGGCCGAAGCTGGGGCAATACCCCATCTGCGGAAGTTGCTGTCCTCTACAAACCCTGTTGCACAGGAGAATTCTGTTACTGCAATGCTTAATTTGTCTATTTATGATAAAAATAAACGCCGGATAATGGATGAGGAAGGCTGTTTAGGAGCAATTGTTGAGGTCTTGAGGTTTGGCCTTACAACAGAGGCAAGGGAAAATGCTGCAGCTACGTTATTCAGCCTCTCTGCAGTTCATGACCATAAGAAGAAAATAGCAGATGAGGGTAAGTCAGTTGAAGCCTTAGCAGGATTGTTGAGAGTAGGAACACCAAGAGGTAAGAAGGATGCTGTGACTGCATTGTTTAATCTGTCCACTCATACAGAAAATTGTGTGAGAATGATAGAAGCTGGAGCTGTCACAGCCCTAGTAGGTGCATTGGGAAATGAAGGGGTTGCAGAGGAAGCAGCAGGGGCCTTGGCCTTGATTGTCAGGCAGCCAACTGGGGCTGAAGCAGTGGGGAAAGAAGAAATGGCGGTGGCAGGATTATTAGGGATGATGCGATGTGGAACACCAAAAGGGAAAGAGAGTGCAGTTGCTGCATTGCTTGAGTTGTGCCGGAGTGGTGGGGCTGCCACAGCAGAAAGAGTCCTTAAGGCCCCAGCATTGGCTGGTTTGCTCCAGGCTCTTCTGTTTACTGGTACAAAGAGGGCAAGAAGAAAAGCAGCATCACTTGCTAGAGTGTATCAGAGGTCTGAGAATGCAACCTTGCATTTTGGTGGATTGGGTGTTGGATATGCATTTGCAGGTAACTCCACCACAAACAGTGATCCAGTCTCAGTTCCCATGTCTATCTCAGTTCCTGTTTTGTAACAGTAACTTCACCTTGTGGTATCAGCTTCCCTGCCTATATAAGTTCCCATTTTTGTTGGTAATATTTACGATTCTTTCATTGAAATTTCAGATAATGAGCAAAAAGGAATTATAGAATTATCATACATAATATGTTGAGCAATTAGTTTGGTCTTATGTATGTAATCAGTTATTGAGAACTACATATAAAAATACCAACAAAGAAATTTTCAAAATTTTACAATTGTGTGTTGATTAGCTCTCTAGTGGACTGCATTTAACATTTTGCGTATCAGTTTTATTCATCAAACACTTAGGATATGAAACTAAACTGTGTTATTCTGTTGTTAACTGATTAAAAAATTAATCTTACATATTCTGAAACAGACGAAAGAAAAAGACTGTATAATAAACTTCTAAAGATTCTAAAGTCGTTCATCCTTAATGATAGAGATGTTACATCCTAACAATAACATCAAACAAGAATCTATAAAGCTAGAAAGTGTTAAGGTCATTGTTACATCCTAACATTACACCAGTTTTTGTGTTACTTAAAATCATACATACAAGGCATCTCTGATCTCATCTTTAAATTCCTGAAAATTGCTTTATCAAGATTCTGAGGAATGCCAAGTATATATTTCAACATAAAAGAACCTTTCTGGAGATCAAACCATTGGTCAAGATTGGACTCTGTTGCATCACTATAAGTGTTGGAATTTCATCTTTCTGGAGGTGACAACAATAGCTTAGCTTTATTTAGGTTCTTTCTTAATGCAAATTAACGTCAGCAAGCATAACTGAGCTGATGGTATATTATTGATGCTTTCACCTTGAAAGCTGGCTGAAATCGACCCTGCTTGCCAAAAAAGCAGGATTGATGAAATCGTCTGGGGTATTAAAATCCCATTTGGATAGACTAATAGGGAAAGTTTGACGGAATCAGCACAAGTCTTCTTTTGATCTAGGGTCTTGATGAATTCCATTACTTGGTGAAATTTAACTGTGTAGGCAGAATCTCCCCTTTTTGGCATGGTTGTGTGGTGGGACATTCCTTCTCCATTAGCATGATGATGTTCTGTTGGACAAAGATTGAATGGAAGGAACACTAAGTGGATATCCAAGTAGACCATTTTCCAGGATAGTAATTGGACATTGGAGTTTGTTTGTCTGCTGTGAAACCTGAGACTAAAAATTTGAAAGCGAGGTGATGTTATTGTGGCCAGTAATGATACTAATGAGACATCAGTGATTCTTATTTCAGATTTTGGTTATCTTATCAAATCTTCCCTAATAAGTGCTTTATTCTCTCTCTCCATTTTATATTCCCAGAATACCAGCTCAAGAAATTATGTTTTCTGGGTCCCAAATGTTATTGTTGCCAGGTGCCAACTATCCATTTGAACTAGAAAGAGACTGCAACGTCAATTTCTGTGGTTTGGAAAATTAGAGATCATGGGCAATTTCTATTTTTCTTTCCTTTTTCATTTTAAATCCTTTTTTTTTTTTAATAAATTATTGATGATATGCAGCAGTGTTACAGTGTTGCTTTCTATATCCCTCCTTGTGCTTATTTGCCTTGTCTTGTGAGTTTGTATGTTTGAGGTTTGCCATTTCTTCATGGCAAAGGAAATGTACATGCAGGACAAGACATTGATCACAGCCATTCCTTCTCTGACTTGATATGGAACAAGTCTGGATTTTTGTTGATGACATTTCTCTGCCGGCTGTGTAATTCTTGCTATACATTTTCTCCTTGAACAATCAGTCTAACGCTTCTGCATATATAGCCTTCGTCTTCGCTAGTGATCTTAGAGTGAAGAAATTTCCTTAATTATATATTAAGTATATATCTTCAGCTTGCAGTCAGGAAGTCCGTTGTCGTCCAGCGGTTAGGATGTCTGGCTTTCACCCAGGAGACCCGGGTTCGATTCCCGGCAACGGAACTTCAAATATTTTTTTTTTCCTCTTTCACACCTATGTTTTTGTCTTTCTTCATTAAATCTAATTTCTGGGTTTTTGTGTTAACTTGAGAGGAAAAAGTTTCTCTTCCTAGTAGTCTAGCGTGGCTAACCCCAGTGTTGCTCAAATTGTGAATAAATATATGAGCTGAAATGGAAGTTCCCAACCTCTTTGCAGTCAATAGGTTGGGCCAAAAGAAACATGTAGCTTGCCTAAGCCTAACTAACAATTGAACCACAGCCGAACCTATCTAGGATCGAGCTTTACCTTGTTAATTAGCCACATGCTAATGAGTAAATATTAGCCCTAGTTCTAGGAGAATGTTAATCACATTGTCTTGTAAAGAAATGAGATGCATAACTATGGGTTATGGTTATGGCTATTACAAATTTGTTAAGATCATTAAAATTATTAAATTTTTATTTTAATTTGTCCGTTAAAAATAATTAACATTTATTATTCAACATATACAAATCAAATTATAAATAAATATTTTTAAATATCAAAATTAACTATTTAAGAAAAAAATTATCAATTGATAAAATTACAAATAAAATTAATGGTCTTAACAAAATCTTAAGTGAAAGTAATATCAGCCCTAACTAAGGGTAAGGGAGACTTCTAACTTGAGATTTTATGGGTCAAATTCCTTATCTGGGAGTAGAGGGTTAGAAGAATTCCTGCAAAATGGAAACGAGGGTGGAGTTCAGTCCAGCCCAGCCCAGCCCAGCCCAGCCCAGCCATTTCAAATGCTCCGGATGCTTGCTGTTTAACATGTACAACTACAAAGTAAAAAGGGCTTAGGGAATATTGAACCTTAAAAGAAAGGAGTAAAAGAAAAAGGCCAAAATTTAGCGAAAGAAAAGTAGAAACAACAAAAGAAAAACAACCCAATGGATTTTATTTGCAAAAGGAAATGAAATGACTAAAGAAAGAACTGCCTTGAATTATTAAAAATTTAGAACCCTAAATAAAAGGGAACCAAAAAAACTCTCCTAAATCACAAAAACCCTAAAACTGCCTGTTCCTCCTGGTTCTCCAAATCTTCCCTTGGTATTATTAATTGTTACTGTTAAGGAGACATTGACATTAGTGTAGGTTGCTGAGTTGGGTTTTGTAGAATCAGAGACCTCTTGCTTTTTTCACCAAAACTTTGGGTTTTGGTCCCCTACACAGTATAAATCACCATTCAAGTGCTAACCATAAAGTGAGAAAAAGCTAGATAAAGAGGTCACAGGATTTAGGGCGGGCCTCTCTTTTAAAAAAGAAATAACTAAGCATAAAAACCAGTAAGAAACCCACTTTCTTATTTAACAGCTTAACTGCCCCATAACTGCTAGAAAGTCTCTCCATTATCAGCACTCAATTCACCTTCCTTCCCACTATTTTCTTCTTTTTCTTCTTCTCTACAACTCCTAAACCTTGAGAATTCAAACCGTTCTTCTTCTATAGTCATAGGAAGTGAAACGGAATTCAGAAACTTTAAATTATGAAGTGGGGAAGGAAGAAACCTTCTCCTTCTTCATTATCCTCCTCCTCTTCTCGACGATTTCCTTCACTTTCCCAAGTTCTTCCTACATCTTGGCTTTCCAGGTTTAAGCGAATGAGGGTCGATGCTGAACCAAAACGTGCAAAAGGGAAGCAGAATACTGTTAGTTCATCACCAGAGAAGTTTGCTGCTGGTGAAGGAAGGTTCTATGGTGGTGGGGATGGAGATGCATTTTGGAGACTGTCATTTGGAGAAAAAAGTGTTGATGGGAAGATAGGCGCGGATCCTGCTGGAGTGCTAAGATCAGTCTGGTATGATTCGGTTGATGTGCTCGGTTTCCCACCCTCAAGTTGCCAGAGATGTGGATCAAATGCTATGATGACAATGAAAACAGACGGTATTAGGAGGCTTGGTCGTATGTCTTGGGATGTAAAGAACCAGGACTTCCGGAGGGATACTGAAATCCTGCCTGCAGTTAATTTATATAAAGGAGAAAGGGCAACGGTAATCAAGACACCAAGGCTGATATCTGAAAGAGACTTGAAATCAAGGAAGAGATTTGAAGAAGCTGTGGAAGAAAAAAGGTTGAGATTACAGAGAATTAAAAGTGAAGCAGAGCAGAAGTCCAAACAATCTCTGGGAAAAATTGTCTCAGAAGTGGAAGCAGTGAGGCAAATTCCAGTCATTGGGAAGAAGAAGTTAACGGGTGGCAGTTTAGGGAAACATCAGAATCTCTCTTCCATAAATTCGAGAAATTGTAGTTTAAGAACAAATGATGAAGACCGTGCATTCTCAGCTCAGAAAATGGAAGAGAATAAAATAGAAGAGCCGAAGGTGAAGAGTGAGAAACAGAGGAAATCTCATCACATGAGTAGGGAATCGCATAGGAGGAGAACAAAGCAGACCAAAGTCAGAGTTTTTTCTCCTAGAACACCTTCCAAGGTTGAAACCTGCAAAATAAAAGCTCTTGAAGAGATGAAGAAGGCGAAATTGAAGTTGAAGGCGGCAAAACAAAGAAGAATGAAGGAAAGTACCAGGTTAGAGAACTTTGCTGTAGTGAAATGCTCATTTGATCCAGAGAAAGATTTTAGAGATTCAATGATTGAGATGATCATGGAGAAAAAAATAAGCCAACCTGAAGAACTTGAAGAACTCTTGGCTTGTTATCTGTCACTGAATTCTGATGAATACCATGATCTCATCATCAAGGCATTTCGCCAGGTATGGTTCTACCTAGAGCAGGCCAGTTTTGAATCTTTTGATATTGAATTACAAACTGAAGAATGTTCTGAGGATTAACTACTGTCTCATTAATGACGACCAACATGTAAATATCTCCACATTTACTATTATATCATGCTTCTAATATGCATCAGATTGCAGAATTAGCTTCAAACCATCATAGAAGAATTCATTTCTAGCTTCCAAATTTAATTTTGTGGCTATAAGTATAAACAGCTTTAAGGCAAAAATCAAGGGACGGGATTCCAGTTTCTACCTTGATGCTTGCTAATTACAACATTAACATGGTATGAAGATTTTTAAAGTGACAAAATTCTGGACAGAGATCTTTGGTTAAGAATCTAAAAGAAAAAATGTCTGTCATCTTTTATAAAAGGAAAAAAAAATAGAAGGTAAAAGAAGAAAGAAGATAGAAGCTTGCCGATCAAAAAAGAACATAAAAAACAAAAAAGAAGGATAATTTCTATTATCTTTTGGAACTTGATATATCTCATCTTAAGCTGCCATGCCAAGCATTTGGAACATGATTGCTTACGAATAACAGAATTAGGTTAAGAACATACATATCCATGTCTTACCATGCTGCTAGAGTATTTCAGTGGTGTGTATGATGTCTTCCCGACAGCAGCCAGCTTGCGCAATCAAGCAGAGAGTAAGAAAAGCATGCAGGGTCATCAAATAAATAAGTAAACAAGTTGAGTGGACCATTCAAAATGATGACATTTTTCTCAAGTGTTGAAAGTAAAATTAAATTCCAGTAAGAATCATGAAAATCAGAATGGCACCTAGAATCATGGAACAAATGGACATAGAATGCAACAACAGATCACTATATGCACAAAAACGATGAAGTAAAAACATGGAATATCTACCAACTACCAGATCAAACTATCATACCGAAATTTATTACATCAGATATACTGAGGCATCAAAAACTGGAAAATGAAATCAACCAATATCAAGTTCTCTCTGCAGGTGTAAGGTGGCCCATCTGTTCTGCAAGGTTATTTACATTCCTCATATTCCACCAAAATCTACCATGATCACCAGGTTTGGTCTCGTTCTTTTTGCCCTCAGAATCTTTTCTCTCTGACTGAACTTCCTGCATGTCACCTGAACCAGGATTTTCAGTCAAAAATTGTTCCCAGAATACATCATTCACTCCAGTTGTCATTGGTGTGGTGGTGGCAACTGCTTGCTCCTTCGATGCAACAGGCTCAGGAGTAACCACAGCAGCAGGCTCAGGAGTAACCACAGCAGCAGGCTCAGAGTTCATGTCAATCCCAGGAGATTTAGGCCGAGTATCAACATTAAGTTGTAAGGAAGATGTAGCTGGGCTTTCTGCACAACTTGTTGATTCATCCACTTCAGGGTTTGAATTAAGTTGAATATGGGTTTGGCCAACATCACGTGCTACATTCTCCCAAAATAACAGAGAATACTCTAACTGCTCAAGCAACTCCATGTTTGATAACAATATGACATCTTCATTTTCTCTAGCTAGTATTTGGGAACTTCCTACCTGATTGTCTGCAATGCCAGCTTCATCATACAGATAACCAATTCTTGGCAACCTTCTCTTCCTATCATTATTTTCCAATTCTGCTGCAAGATTTAACGCAAGCCCTGGTTTCTGCAGCACTTCTGCTACCGTTGAAACCATCATTTGCTGTCTACATTCCATCTTTTGCAAGCGCTCTTTCAAATGCTGCATTTGCGACTCAAATCCCTTCCATTCCCGCTCATGCTCCTTCAATTCCAGATCAAGATGATCTTTTTCATTTTTAAGTCTCTCGATGTCATCATTCAAACGTTGTCTTTCTGACTCCGTTAATGGAGCAAATTGACCATGAAGGCTCTGCATTGAATGGCTGTGAACTGGCTTTCTTCTGTGAATATTTTTCAAAAGGTCTGGCTTACCTCTAATAAAATCCTCATTTGCAAATTCCCATTGTTCTGGATCAACTTTTCTAAAACCCTGCAAAATTTTTGAAACAATTAAAGTCAATAAAAAACACAAACAAGTTACATGTACAAAAAGTGAAAAAAAAAAAAAAAGAAAGAAGAAAAAAACTAGTAAAAACCAGACGCCTTACATATGTATTAAGCTGCCTGATGAAGCTAGAGAAATTATTGTGCTTGAAGAACCTAGGAAGCAATTCCTTTGCAAACTCCGGCGGATTCAATACAATAAAGCTTGTATTACTTTGGCTCCACGCAACAATGGAATCTGTGGAAGGATCATCCACCATCTCATATGTCTTTGCAAGAAATGGAGGTAGCGAATTTGAGCTGCCCTGACCATCATCCATCTTAAATTCTTGTATAGAACCACAAATAATACCAGACTCAAACTTCACCAACGAAGAAAATTCAAAATGCTCAATCTCCTTGTAAATTGAGAGACAAAACTGTATAACAAAACTGAACTCGCTCCCGAATGTCAGCCTCAATAAAGGTCAAAATCCTTCTATCCTTCTGTCACATGCAGCGAGCAAAACAGCATTTTGCAGCAAACGGAGCCAGAAGCTCAATTCACAAGTCTTGAATTCCGACCCCCAGCGCCCTGGAAATTGATCTACAACAACCCTCAACAAAAACCCTTCCTTGGATAAGCTGCAATCAACAGCTTCATTGAGCCATTAATACAACTCAATAACCTCCCATAAAACAAAATCAAATTAGATGAAAGCAATCCTTCAGATCCAAAAGAATCAAATCCCCATCCACTCTCCAAACCGCTATAAAGTTAAAACCCCAAAAACCCTCCTAACCGCCGATGATCAATCAGTCCAAAGAAGTCAGCTTTTCCAATCTATAAATCGGCAAAATCGCCGCAACCCGAACTCAAAGGCCCAAAATTCTGGACCAAGACTTAAAGAACGCAAAACCCTTTTACCCTCAAAACAACCAGAATCAATCCCAAGCTCGAATTCTTAAAAAATCACAAAATTCCAAAGAAATCGCGAACCCAAATCGAAAACAGAGAACCCCCCCAATAGCTGTCAGCTCCCGAATATGTTCCGAAATCAAAAACTGCATTAAAAAAAAAAAAAGAAGACCAAAAACAGTTCATTCCAGATGTAAGGTTAGAAACCATCAACCAAATTGAAAGTCATTAAACTGTACATTAAAAAATGAACAGGAAAAAAAAAAAAAAAACTTAAATCGGAAGCAACTAAAAAGAGATGAAATTGAATTACTATTCTCTTAATACAGATTACAGAGGCGCGAGTTGAGTTTGTTACCTAAGAAAGAAAATAAAAAGAAGAACGGCAGAAAGCGAAGTTGTAGACGATGATGGGTGTGGTGAAGCCGCAAAGGGGGGAAGACACGATGAATTGTATTAGAATGCGGGGACGAAGTTTGGGGGATTCTGGATTCTGGATTTTCTGGTTCTCTGAACCGCGTACTGAAGGGGTTGGGAGGGGGGTGTTGGTTGTCTACGGTGCTGTATTTGGTATGTTAGAAAAATGAGGTAACAGTGAGGTACGGTCCAGGTGGGAGAGAGGGATTGGTCTGGTAGAGTCGGGATGAGATAAATAATGGCGGTGACGTGGGGGATTTGATGTTTGTTTCCATTGTTTGCTTGGTTGGATGGGCATGGAGATGGATGGATGGATGGAAGGAGACGGGTTTTTAAAGCAATTTTTCTGTTGGAAATCAAACAATACACGTGCTCTGACCCTTAGCTTTCTCTACCTCTCTAACTATTCCGATGGGTAAAAAAACGACATTCTTTCTTATTTATTTTTTTTACATTTAAAAATTATATTGTATTTTAATTAATTTAAAATTAAATCATATCAAATTTTATAAGAAAATTTGTTTTTAATTTTAATTTTTTTATTTATAATAAGAGTTAGTGCTTATTTACCTTACCTCTAAAAAATTAAGAGAAAAAAAAGATAAAAAATATCTTAATACATGCTTTAAAAATAAAGTATCTTAGTCTTTTTCAATAAATATTTATTAAAACAGTGTAATTTTAAGATAATTTTTCTTTTAATTTTTAAGAGGTAAGGCTGATAGGTACTATTCTCTTTATAATATTTAAATTTAAAATTTTATCTTAAAAAAATTTAATTTCTTTTACTTATATTAACAAATCATTGGTAAAAAATAAAAAAAATATATAATAATTAAGTGACAACTTCTGGTATAATTCCCTGACTTTCTCAGTTTCTTGTGTTATAACAACAGGTCAGTGTTAAAATTCGGCCTTTCAAAATCTAATTGGCCGTTCTCAAATCTTAGTATTTGAGTTGATTTACAGGTCATTGGTGCTTCTTCAACCCATAAACGGATCTATTTTCCCTTGTTCAAAAAAAACAAGAGGTCAGAGTTTATTAATTTTATTTTTTTTAAATTAAAGTTTTAATTTATATTTAAAAATTAAAATTTTAATTTAAAATTTGATTATATATTTTAATATAATTAATTTTTAAATATAAATATAAATATTTAATAAGATAAATTTTTAAATTTTGCATTAAATTTTAATTAAACAAAACAATGTATTTTGATATTGGGATTTTAATTTATTTTAAAAATCAAAATTGATACATATTTTTTACAATATATCATAAAATATAAACTATTTAATAAGTAGGGAGGGAGTCCTTAATATTAAAAATTTGTCTCATTTAATAATTAAAGTATGTAATTTAGAAGAGTTTGAACTGTATAAAGTATTTTTACAATTTTTATGTAATTTTATTTATTTATTTAGTGATATAGAAAAATTATAAATAAAAATTATATAAATAAATTATTTGCTTACCATTATTGGTAAAAATATACTAACGTGATTCTAGTTCTTAATATTTGGATGTTTGTAATAAATTTATTCCTTAAAATGATTGATATTGTATTTATTTGATGTCAAAATAGGTGATAACATTTATTTGAAGTATGTATCTTAGATTTTTTTTTTTTTTGTTACACAATAAGAGACAACAATCTCTTATTTTTTATCTCACTCCATCCACAAGTTATGCGACTCGAACTTATGATCTCTTATTTTCAGCGGAAAGAAATCACCACCATATTACTTAAGTTGTTGGCTATGTATCTTAGATTAATATTAAGTTATCAACTAGCTATCAAAAATATCAAGTTATCAAATATTTATAGTTACTTTAACTAAATAAGTAAAAATATTTAAATTATAAATAATAATAATTAATTATTAAGTATCATATTACAATTATAAAAAATTCCTAACCGTTAAATTAAACAAGGCAATAATATAATTCGTGTAAAAAAAAGGGCTTTACTCTTTAGGGTGGCGTTTGGTTTAAATAAATATCCCATATATATATATATATATATATAAATATATTTAATGTTAGAATCAGTGTTGTCAAAATCTAAATTTAAATCTTAAAATCTTACGATTTTACGATTTTAGTAAGGTGTTTCGTGTAAAATCTATACTAAAATCTAAAATCAGGTAAAATCTCGATTTTACTGTGAAATCAGGTAAAATCTCGATTTTACCTTCTGTTTGGCAATTGGACTTTTTGCCTATTTCCTTTTGAGTTTTTCATCTTGGATTAGTAAGTTTTGACTAGATAATTCATAAATTAAGCTTATTTTTCATTTTAAAAGCTCACGACCCACACAACTCAACCGCAAATTAACATTTTAATCGAGAATTCGGGACAAATTTGATTTAACCATCTAAAATTCTAAATTTAAGTCATCTTCTTTAGTCATCTTCTTCATTTAATTTATTTGTGTTGTTGGATATTTAGATTTTAATTAGCTAATTTCAAGTTTCTAACTCT